TGCTTGACAGTTAATTACCTGTGACAAAGTGAGCACTGCAGACTCTGGCGTATTCCAGCTTCACACCGTCCAAAACCGACCTGGATATCCGTGTCAGCCATAAGTGACGGCGTTGTTCAGATAGCTGTTTTGTTTTTTCACATTGATTCACGATTACGGCTGGTATGCGATAGAAAGAGCGTTGATCTCCACCTCCACGGGCCGTGCAACCAACAATTACACACGATTTCACCATTTTTCACTGTCGATATTGCCTAAGGCTGCCACCCAATATGGCGGACGCGCTGAGTAGTCACGTGAGCGCGACGTCACATGAAAACCCCCTATTAATTTAATTTATTCCCCAAAAGAAACAAAACTTTCCACTAAATGGAACCTTCCACGTTTCTTCCGGAAGAAACTAGAAGAAACTGGCATTTAACCCATCCCCTTGAGGAGCAGTGGGCTGCCATTGTGCAGCGCTCGGGGAGCAGTGTGGGGTTAAGGGTCTTGCTCAGGGACCCAGAGTGGCAGTCTGTGGGAGTGGGGCTCGAACTCAGAATCTCAGGATTCCCAGCTCTATGCCCTAACAGGTAGTCCACCACTCCCCCCCAAATATTAGTGTAGTTCATGTGTGTAAAGCCTGATTAATGCTAGACCCCCTTTCTTGTGGAGGCAGGGGTTGCGGTACTGCGACCAAAGCCAACCACCAGTAGTAAACAAGAAGAAGAAGAAGCGAAGCAGAGTAGCGGGTGTAGCAGATTTTTTGGAAAGGGAAAGAACAGGAGTTGGAAGTAGGGTGGCCAGATGTCTGGTTTTAGGGCAGACAGAACGGCTTTTCATTGCACTGTCTGGCATCCGGCGCCGCATCCAGCCGGATGTGTATTTGTCCTCCTTTACCCCCAGATTCCACACACTCTGTCAGCGCTCCGCTCTGCTCACATACGTCGTGCGGAGTACTTGTCTGTCATGTAAATCAATAAGAGCTGTTCCACATCCTCCGCTACTCCTACAATTGCAATCGCACCAAACAGGAAAAAGAATGTAGAGAGGACCCCGTTTTTCAAATTAAATTATAGTAAAAACTATAAATTAGAGCATAATTCGTATATAATACAAAAACTAAGAGCAATTAATTAAATAATTGGATGCAGACTATTGGTGCTTCAACAGACCAGGAAGAAGTTGTGAGATTCTAGAGTGAATCTCACAACTTTAAAAGAAAATTCTTATTGCAGTAATGAATGAAGAGATGATGAGTTTGGAAGCAGAGAACAAATAGAGTTCATACAAACTACACTCACCGGCCACTTTATTAGGTACCCCATGCTTAGGGTGACCAAACGTCCGTATTTCCCGGGA